CCACAGATTAAGTTAAAGAACTAAAACCAATGATTAAGGATACAGAGCTCTGAAAATAAAAGCATGCTATTATTTGAACATTAAAATGTCACTGTGTATTCTTCTAATGGGCAATATGAAGACAGAAATCAAATTTGTTATAAATGACACAGAAAATTGGGCTAGCAATTAAGAATTATCCAAGTCAACTTCCCATTAACATTCTTCCATTACTTCCCTGCAGTTATATATTGGGGGAGGAGGCTCAATGCAAACAGGAGCTAACTTACAGTAGGGGAGAGGGAAAAAAAAGACAAGATATGAAATGCAAGTCAGTTCACTATTTTTGTATTGGCTCTTCCCTGGATTTGATGAAGGACAGGAACGTAAGCTAAAGACAAGACATGAAATGCAAGTCAGTTCACTGTTTTTACATTGGCTCTTCCAATAACTGGATTTGATGAAGGACAGGAGCGTCAGCTTCCAGGACTGTTTCTGTCGCCTCAGTATTTCTGGCATTATGTAAACTATCTGCAGATGTTTCAAAGCAGCACAAGATAATGGAAATCAAAGAGACATGTGTTTAAAACTGAGCTCCACAACTCATTAGCTCTGTGACCCTCATAATAAAGTTAATTAAGTTTCTCATCTGTAAAATAAGATTTAGTACTATCTACTTCAGGGAATTATTGTTAAGTTTCAGTAAAAGAACACATGCAGGCACAATAAGTACTAGTGCTCCCTACATGTTCTTTGATTCCCCTCTACAAAAATAATAGAACACAGTTGGTAGGTATATTCCGCACAATGGAGTTCTTGCTTTGTATTTTAAAATTACCAGTTATGGTGGCAAGGAAAACAAATGCAAAAATAAACAAACAGGACTAAATCAAACTAAAACATTACTGTAAAGGGGGAAAACTGTCATTAAAGCAAAAAGATACCCTGCCAGAGGGAGGGGAAATACTTGCACATCACAGAAATGCAAGAGGCAGATAGCCAAGATCTACAGTGTACTCACACAATGGAACAAAAAGAAAACAAAGAGCCCAATCAAAAAATAGGCAGAAGAGCTAAATAGATTCTTCCCGACAGAAGACAGATGACCAATGGCATGTGAAAAGAGGCTCATCATCACTAATCACCAGGGAAATGCAAAGCAAACCACAGGAAAATGCCACCCCACACTGGCGACAATAAGCCATATCGAAAAACCAGAAACAAGTGCTGGCGAGGGCATGGGGAAGAAGAAACCCCTATACACTGTTCCACTCACTATGGAAATCAGTATGGACGATCCTCAATATGTTAAGTGTAGGCCATTATAAGATCCAACACTTCCACACTTAGATCTCATTCAGGGACTCGCTGGTGGCACAGCAAGCTGTCTGCAGCCACTGAAGCACTAGTTTGACCCCCCGCCTGGAAGCTGACCCACATGGCATGGCAGACCTCTCCTGTCTCACCCGCTCCCCTCAGCATGTATTTAGTAACTCTGCCTGTTCTGTTCCCCACTCTGTCTCTGGGGAATCTTCTCCCTTCCTCTCTCCCTCCCTTCCTCCTTCTTTCAGACCCAACACTTCTGTCCTACACTCCAGTTCTTGTATGTACAAATAAATAAAAATATTTTTAAAAAACACTTATACAAAGGGATATAACCACTACTTGCTCATGGTGGCTCTATTCAAGCTATAGAAACAACCCAAATAGCCATCAACAGGACAGTAGATCCAGAAAGTGTGGTGTATATACACAGTGGACTACTTACTCAGCTATTAAAAAAAAAAAGACAAAATCTTGCTATTTGTGACAACATGGATGGACTGGAGGGGATATGCTAAGTGAAATAAATCAGAAGGAGAAAGACAAAAACAAATTATTTCACTCCCATGTAGAAGACAAAAAAGAAAAATATCAAAGGAACAGGCAAAATAAGACCAAGAAATATGTCTGCAAAACTTAAGCTACTGAAGTATAGAAGTGGGGGAAAGAAGGGAGGGGGCTGGGTAAAGGACTGTGGGTGCTTTGATTGGGGGCGGGGGGAGGCAGTGTGTTAACATACATTAGAGGAGGTATGAACCTGTTCCCCTAAATCATATGCAGTGTACTTGTAAACGAATGTTACCTCAACAAAGAAAAAAAGAAAATTATCAATTACATAAGTTATTAAAATTAGTTTTAAGGTATTTTTAGCCAAGGGAAAATACAATATATTCATAAAAAAAAATTTAAATCGGGACAATTTAATGAGATTCCTCACCAAATTATTATCTATAACTTTCAGGATAATTCTTGGTAAACAAGCAGAAGTACAATATAAAAATCACCAAGGACAAGGCCCTCCCTGGTGGCCAGTGGGTTGGAGCATGGCACTGCGCAGCTAACCAAGCTGTGGATGCCTCAGTGCGAGTTCAACCCCTGGCCCTGGAGGTAATCCCCATCACGGGGTGGACCTCGCCTGTCCCTCTGACTGCTCCCCTCAGCAGTGTACTTTGTCGATCTGCCTGTTCTGTTCCCCACTCTGTCTCTGGTGAAGCCTCTTGCTGCCCCTGCACCTCTGGTAAATAAATCTTTAAAAAAAAAAAAAATCACCAAGTACAAATTTCCGAAATGTAACCAAATCCCTCTCAGAGCAGACTCAATTGAAGCTACGTCCCTATGAAAGTTTGAAATGTCCTAATGTTCTCTCTTAAGGAATAAGCTTGTCTTTCCTGGCTAGCTGAGCAATAAGGCATCAATGCCAGCCCAGGGAGATCCAAGAAACATGTGTTCCATGGCCACTGATGGCAAAGGGAAAACTGAGTCCCAAATAGGCCAGTCACTAAAATCCATATTTGGTGAGAACTTTCTAAAACTTCCTTGGTAAAAATTAAGCCAACACTTATTTCTGTATACACTGCCTCTTCTGTGTGAAGATTATCACATAAAAAGTGAAATCAGGAGGAAAAGGAACTGTACCCCATAAAGAAGCTTTAAGTTAAACAAGGCAGCCAAGCCTACTTTTAAGCAGAAACTGAACTCAAAGGTTACACTTTTAAATGGAATGTTTGTTTTTTTTTTTAAAGATTTATTTATTTGTGCATACAGAACTGAGGTACAGGCCAGAGACTCGGGGCGGTGAGAGGCTTCACCAGAGACAGAGTGGGGAACAGAACAGGCAAATGGACGAAGTACACTGCTGAGGGGAGCAGCGGGCGGGTCAGGAGAGGTCTGCCACGCCATGTGGTCACCTCCGGGGCAGGCGGGGATCGAACTCATGCGGAAGCAGCTTTGGATTCTCAGTGCTGTGCTTTAACCTGCTGTGCCACCAGGGAGGGCCTAAATGGAATGGTTTTTGATGAAATGTTATATATACAGGTCCTAAATAATACTCACTCTCAAACAGCCCACACTAAAATTGAGACACCAAAACATCATTCATTTAGGAATGTACAACACTTTACAGAGCATAAGAGACTTTGAGCAGATTTACATTCCTAATGAGCTTGTGCTTACTCTAGTATGAACATTACCTTGCAGGGTGTCCTAACCCTTGTGGAGGTGAGACTAGCGTACCTGGAGTGGCAGGTACAGCTGGTCTGGTTCAAGATCTAAAGTGACATCTTTCTTGCATGCTTCTTAAGTTATTAAGGTTTATACATTTCTTGTAAAGCTAAAAATCAGCCTACTGAGTAATGAAAAATGATTAAGGACCGAGTTAGTATGTGGCATGCTCTTCCCATAAGTCATAAATTTGGCAAGAATTTCCTCTCTCACTGCTTCTAGATGGCAGAGTAAACTAGAGCACATGAAAAGACAGCCCTAGCTTCGGGCAGGCGCATCTCAGCCTCATCAGAGGGCAGCGCATGGAAACTCAGGTTTGCGGAAATCAACCAAGAATAATGCTATATGTGTGAGTGGATATAAAAACCTACCCTTCTCTCTCAGTTCCCTGGAAAAACAATAATATGTAAAACAAAACACCACCACTGTAAGACGGGGCATGGAGAAGTAAATAATAACCGAGTGGGAAGAGGAGAATGGGCATACACCCATTTTTGAAGAACAGAGACAGTGAAACATCATTTCTCCCTAAGTAAATGTAAACATTTAATGAATGACCTCTTTCAGAGTTTTCCAAGTATTCTTCATAAATCTACATATATATGAAACACACACACACACACACACACAAATAGACAGGAACATAAGTGGGAGAAAACCATGAAAAATATCAACACACTAATTTAAAAAGATATTCTAAAATATTAACACATAATTAAAAGTGTGTATGACAAGCACACATGAGATGTGAATGGAATAGGAAGTCCAGAAATAGAGCCTCATCCAGCATGACAAAGATGTATCTCAGATCACTGAGGCGAAGCAACCTTTTTAGTGAAGTAGGACTGGTCAACCTGATTAACTTGAAAAAAAAAGACAAACTAAATCAATTCCTTGGAACTATACAGACAAATCAGGATATGTGAATTCCTCTTTAATGTCATACAGGAAAAAGCTTTTTTTTTTTTTTAAATGCAGAAAACTTTATTATAGTAATATATAAAACAAATAACTTCAGATGTTCATAACCACGTTATACATTATCTTTATGACTCATGGTGCTTATTCAGCTCGTTCAAATTTGAATGAATAGCTT